TCAGCAGGATGAGTTTTCAGAATTTGAAGAAAATGTTTAGCCAAGCTTCACAGAGACACTTCTAAGGGTACTGAAAACTAAGCAAACCTGAAATATCTTGAAAATAATAATATGTAAGGATTAGGGAGTGTATTGAGGAGAAGTAATAAGATTTTAAAAATTAATTATTTTATTTTAAAAAAATGTTTTGCAAGTTTGTTCCCCAGTGGTAGTGGTTATCAGCCCATAAGGAGACACTGGAAAAGCCCAGTAGTTCTGTAATGTGGTCTACCTGCATGTAGTCTATTTGGTAATACTTGTTATCACAGTGCTGCCGATTTATGTGGAATCACAGTGCTTCCGATTTATGTGGAAATTAGGGCCATTGTCTCCCTTAAATGCCTCTCCAACTGCGGCAAAACAGGGACAGACTTCAATTAGCTGTCCTCAGATTGCCCGGTAAGCCTTCGATGTATAAATTGCCCATTCTCTTAGGTGTGAATTATTACAATATCCTGTCTTGTGTAATAACTCCACGATTATGAACATGTGAAGGGGTTAGGAGGGAAAGGTAGTGTGAGCCTCATTTTTTTTTTTTTTTTTTTTTCAAATAATGGATGAACTATGCCGAGATCTCACCACCTCCTCAAAGGGAAACATGTTGACCGTTTGCTACCGGCAAAGGTTTCATGTGTTTCTCTCTGGCTGCTAAGGTGCGACTGATACACTGAGGGCACAAAGAAGAGTGTACATACATTGCCTTCTCCGTAATATTCCTACATTAAGAGTCACTGCTTCTCCATTTGCACCAGACAGGGAGTGTAACCAATATAAAAATGGATACCATTTAACTAAAAGAGCTTATACTGCTAGAAGAGAATGTCAAGATCTTCATCAGGACATCCATATTCCCCAGTGCCACTCCCACGCTCATCTTCTGCAACCCAAAACAGTAGCATCTCACAGGTCTGTAGGATGGCCCATCATTTCTTCTGGCACAGCCGTGGTCATGAGGAGAACTTCCCTTTGCCATGCTGGCTGTCAGGCTGTGCTCTGCCAGGATCTCATATTTATTTAGAGCTCCCATTCTGGTGAGCATAGTGTCTTCTCGCTCAGCACAGGCTTGCTCAGACCAACTCCTTTCTCAAGGTGGGTAAATTGCACTAGCAGAATTTGTGTTGAGCTGATCTGTTCAATGCTAAACTTAGCCTGCTGCATGTGGCGATATCCTGTCCATTTTTGGGGTGAGAGGCAAGATTGTTGATGGTGAGCAGCAAGGCTCAGGCACTATAGATACCTTTTATTTGTGCTATCTTGGCGGCGTGGAGGTGAACATTAACAAATTTTGTGAAACTTTACTAACTTGTTATAGCTTCTTTATCATGTTGGGCTGATGACCAGGGGCTTGGGAGACCAAGCAAATGGTTGTTTTGGTTTCCACAGATCGTTGTGCACTTAAAGCAGGCTCTGTCAGCTACAGCTTTGACAACAACCCTTTCCCCAGATGTTCATGGAACTTCCCAGGGAAGTCTTTATTGTGCCGTAGGAGAAAGGCCAGCAGAAGAGTATTTTTGAGAAATAACTGTGAAGAATCTCGAGAAAGGATATTGCTACCCTCATGCATAAACTGACAACTGCCAACCTTTCTTCTTTCTGACAAGCAGTTTTGTTTCAAAGGTTTCGGTACTCCAGCCAGGGATTACCAAAGTGAACAGAGATCTGGGGTATCCCCATTTTTTTGAGTGTCCATCTGGAGACAGCGTGTTCAATGAATGGGGTTGTTTTCAGCCCTGTACTTATCTCTTGCCCTTCTTAGTTTAACACATAAAAATCAAGGTACCTGGAACAAGTGCTAAAAGAGGTAGTGGAGTCTCCATCCTTGGAATGATTTAAAACTAAACTAAGCAGGCACATGAGCAACCTGTTCTATATTTTAGGTTACTCCTGATTTGATCAGGAGGTTAAACTGGATGTCTTCCAGAGGTCCTTTCCAAACCAGATTTTTCTAGATTCTGCTTTAATGGGCCAAGGCATGAGCTGTGCTCCAGGGTTTGAAAGAAATGGCTATGATTCTTGCTGGGGAAGGAACCAGTTTCTGCAGAGCCAGAACTGGAATATCCTGATTTATTTGAAGACTTCTTTAACCTTCAGGCAGTAGTAACGATGGAGTGGTTTCACCAATGCTGTTGGACATTCCTCTACAAGAGGGAATTTCAGTCTCCCAAGTGCCTTCTGGATATCTTCAGCTCACAGTTAGTGAGATGGTACAAGTGAGGAACTAGAATGTGAAAGTGCTGAAGGTCCTCTGAGAGAGCTTGCACTTGGGTGGTGTGTTGCTGCCTTGTAACCAGTGAGAGAGGACTGATACAGTGTATTTGATACAGTAGAAAAATGACCACTGCCTTTTTTTTTTTTTTTGTACATGAGAGAATGACACGGATATCCACAAGGGAACATAAAACACCTAGACCAGGTCACATGATTATGTTGCATTTTTTTCTTATGCAAAGAGACCTTAAATTTGTCAGTATCTCTGTGAAAAATGCTTCCCCACTGTCCCCCACCACGTTCTACTCTGGGATCCTGCACTGTTCACTTTCAAGAAGACTGTATCCTCAAATGTCAGTAAAACCTTTTGGCCTCAATTTTTGTTAATTTCTCTGCTTTCTCTTTGCAGATATGAATGAGGAGCGGTTGGGTGATGCTGGTGGAGCAGACAATACTGAGACCTACAGTGAGAAAGACACAGACCAAAGGAGTTCCCCAGACATAACTAAAGCCAAAAGTTGCTTCACTCCTGAAAGCCCTGAAATTGTTTCAGTGGATGAGGTCGGTTATGCAGTTCAGAAAAATGGTGGGAGCACAGAGAGTCGTCCAGACAGCCCCAAGTACCACCCAGAGCAGAACCACCTCCTGATAGAAGGTCCTTCAGGGACAGTTTCTTTACCTTTCAGTTTGAAAGCCAACAGGCCTCCGCTTGAAGTCTTGAAAAAGATCTTCCCTAACCAAAAGCCAGCTGTGCTGGAATTGATCCTGAAGGGGTGCGGTGGTGATTTGGTGAGTGCTGTAGAAGTTCTCCTGTCGAGTCGTTCTTCAGTGGCTGGTGGAGAGAGAACTTCTGCAGAATCAGATGGTCTTGTTTTGCCTTCCAACGGGCACATTTTTGAACACACACTAAGTTCGTACCCTATTTCCTCTTCCAAGTGGTCCGTGGGCTCAGCATTTAGGGTTCCTGACACGCTGAGGTTCTCTGCTGATTCCAGTAACGTCATGCCAAATCCTCTGGCCGTACCTTTGCAGCACCCTTTCCCTCAGCCACCACGCTACCCACTGATGCTGAGGAACACACTGGCAAGAAACCAGTCCAGCCCGTTCCTGCCCAATGATGTCACCCTGTGGAACACCATGACACTGCAGCAGCAGTACCAGCTGCGATCTCAGTATGTCAGCCCTTTCTCCAGCAACTCGGCCAGCGTTTTCCGAAGCTCACCTGTCCTTCCTTCCCGCTCTTCAGAAGACCCTAGAATCTCAATCCCTGATGACGGGTGTCCTATTGTGTCTAAGCAACCGATTTACACAGAAGATGAGTATGATGAAAGGTCTGATTCTTCAGACTCAAGAATACTCAACACATCTTCTTAGACTGACATTTGACACACAATAGCTAAGTGATACTCGCAGTGCAGCTGAACTACGGGGCCCTAAGAGGAGGGACACTACTCTACGAAACCCTTGCAATTGTATTAAAAGGTGACTTTGCTTGGTATTGTACTGTAGCAATAAAGACATAACTTATTTAATTTCTTGCACTTCACTGGATAATGCCAAATAGCAATACTCTGGCTTTAGTGCTGAGTGTGTGTTACAAAGGAAGACTTTACTTCTATCAGTTATGGGACTCTGGACGACTCATAATGGAAACAGAAGCCCAAAGTCTACTTTGTTCCGTAACTCAGAAAAATGGGGATGTTAAACTAGAATACTTGAATGCTGTTTTATAAGAGAGAACTCCTCAGGACGTAAGAAATCGAACAAACGTAGTTCAATTGCAAATGGACTAAAACAAGGACCTTACAGTCTTACAACAGTGATCATCCTTGCAGTGAAAGAAACGGCAGAAGAAGGAAATATGCACATAAAACTAGCATGAGCTGCTTCTGTGCCATTTGAGCTTGGACACTTTTCAGAGAAATAATATTAAGAGTTATTCTTTTCCCATGGCTACGTCGAAACATGTCATGTCAGTGTAAAACCAATTACGGCTGTGAATTGCATGAAGTGTATTGTGAAATGAACACCGGATTAAGCATTGTCAGGTTAATGTAGCATGCTAAGGATCTCTAGAGAAATAAACTAAGATGATGATCTTGGTTTATGTCATTTATACTGGGCAAATAACATTTCCGAAGATAGAGAGCTATTTAGTCCTCAGTCAGGGTTAAAATGTCCAGCTCCAGCTCTGCAGCTAAGGGAAGCCTCTTTCTCCAAGTCTGGGTTCTGCTTCCCTGCCTTGTAGCTTGTGTCTGAGATCAGGCAAATCTTGTCATCAGGGAAGCTGAGGTTTCTTGAGTATGTACTGCAGACACTTCCAAGCTCAGCTGAGTAAAGCAGAGCTTGCTACAGTCATAGCAAACAGAAAAAAAGGCTCTCCCAATGCTTCAGAAGTATTTTTTTTCTTATACTGTAGAAGTAGAAAAAAGGAAATACAATGTAATAGCAGGCATTTCTTTGAAATATTGTCCCTAACTCTAGAAAGGTAATGATTTAAACAATTTATTGCATGTTTGCATGCATTGATTACACTGCGTAGCTTCTGTATGTCAAAGTAACATTAGGAATTCCTTCTGATGAGGAATGCTACTAAATTAATTGTCCACTTAGAAGTTTAAGGTTTTAGTGCCATTTTTTCAACCATTCACAAGTGACTACATCTGCATGGCAGTTGGCTTTCCCAAAACACACCTCTGACTGAGTGCGAAGGAAATGGCTGTCAGGCCTATCACATGTATGGATTAGTCCCACACCTCAAAAACAACTGAGACTGCTCTGAAGTTGGACACTAAAGCAGATGGGCTTTAAAACTGTAGTATATATCAGGCGTGTTATCTGGCCTCATTGCCGATATGAATGCCTGTGCTCTCTTTCGGCATTTCATATTTTGTAAGGTTTGTGCACCCACTGAATCTTGATTTTTATAAGGGTGCTGAACACACACACAAAAAAAAGGATAATAAAATAATGATTTTATTTTCCTTAGGGGATAAATGAACACAAAGATACTTCTTTTTTTTTTTTCATAATTTACCAACCTGTTCAGAAAATCAGTCTGTTGGTAATACTACAGAGCTAAGATACAAAAGCAAGGCAAGGGAGAAAAAAGAATAAATAGCTTCCCTTATGGGAGTGTGAATGTGAAAAACATCTGGAATTTTCATAAACACTGGGTTACAGTTTTATACTGACAGATTTGCCTGCACTCACAGAGTACTTGTAAACAAATTAATCTTCCAGCCGCTCCAGAGAGAAAAGTAATAGATGAAATAGGCTTGATTGTGCAAACAGAAAGAGATGAGATAGTGAAACGTTGTGCTACAGCATCATGGAGAAGTTCAGTGTCGAAGACTTGGTATGAGCAGGTAGGTCCAGGAGCTCTGGTTTATTGCTCATGCACCAAGCTGATTTCCCTCCAGCAGAAACTTTTGTATAGACATCCCTGTACATTGAATGAAACATTCTTCTCCTACTTTTTTTTTTTTTTTTTTTTTAACTTTTGCTACAGGGGGGGAATCTTTTTTCTCCTTTTTTTTTTTTTTTTTTTTTTAACTTTTGCTACAGAGGGTGAATCATCTCCAGCAGAAAGTGGTGCCTGCAACAGCTCACAGTGACCTTACATGCTGTGGCCTGTGTGTTTTCAGAGAATGATATTTTGGCATCTTGGAGCTGGGACACATCTTTCAAAGAAAGGTGACCCTTGGATAATGTGGAGTGAACTATTATCACTCTAAACACCTGTGCTGAAAAATACAGTTTCAGTGGTATGATTTTTTCAAAGTTAGGTCTCTTCTGATCAGCTGTTTTCTGAAAAAGCAAACAAGAAATTAAAATCATCTTTGTCCAGTGTTTTGACTCAACATTTTTTTTTCTTTTTAAATAAATGTACATGTGTTCAGAATGAAAAATGTAAGTTTTGATTTTTAACAATGTTTATTATTTGACTACAAAATATTTTGGCTATCCAGAAGATTTTTTTTTTTTTTTTTTAATATGGATTAACCTTCAACAAGATCTTTGAGAAATCATTTCATTCACATAGCTGTGACCCGTCCGGCAGGCCCTCGCTGCGCTAGCAGGGGATGCTTACCCACTCCCACCTTCGCAGCACGGACAACCGAAGGCGAAGGAGCCACTTTTCTGCAGGGGTCCTGGGTGCCCCATCCAGACGGGGCCCACGGCGGCCACCCCAGAGCTGGTGGCTCCCGTTCTGCCTCGGGACCCTGCGTTTTCCGGCTCCATCTTGTGGTAAAAAAGGGTATGGCCATGTTCGAGCAAATGCTTCATGCTCTGAGAGAGAGACCTGTGGGAGTAAAGCTTTCCTCGCGCTCAGAAGACCTCAGCAGAAAAAACGAATTTAAGCATCACGAAAGACGACTTGAGCCTGGCGAGGTCTCTGCTGAAGCCCAGAAACCAAGGAGTCCTTCTTTTTTTCTTTATGCTAGGGTAGCTGTGATTTTCATGGAGCAAGTGAACTTCACTCCTTGTGTTCTGCACAGCTCCAGCTCCTGCTTGAGCATCTGCCTAGATGCCTCTCTGGGGATGCTGAGGCTGCTTTTTCTCCTGTCAGGCAGATGATTTCACTGCCAGTTCTCCATGGGTGCACACAAAACCAATGGCCATGCCATGGGAAGTTCTTTTCTGCTCACTGCTCTGCTTGTCCTCATCAGCAGTGCAGGCCCACAAGAGACCATATCATTGCACTCTACAGAGTCTGGCTGCTGCCCCAGAGGCGTGCTACTTACTCCCTGCTCGTTAACCTCTAGATGTGAGAAGCTGGATGGGGCCAATGATGATGTAGATAAGGGAGGAATCGGAGTCAGGGGTTAGGTCCAGCTAGCAGCCAGTCACAATTGGTGTTCCCCAGGGCTCAGTACTGGAGCCAGTCCTGTTCAGTATCTTTACCAGTGATCTGGATGAGGGCACTGAGTGCACCCTCAGTAAGCTTGCAGATGATACAAAGCTGGGTGAGAGCAGAGATATGCTTGAGGGTAGGGAGGCTCTACAGAGGGACCTGGACAGGCTGGATCAACGGTCCAAGGCCAATTTTTTGAGGTTCAACAAGGCCAAGTGCCAGCTTCTGCACTTGGGCCACAACAACCCAATGCAATGCTCCAGGCTTGGGGAAGAGTGACTGGAAAGCTGCCTGGCGGAAAAGGACCTGGGGGTGTTGGTTGACAGCTGGCTGACCATGAGCCAGCAGTGTGCCCAGGTGGCCAAGAGGGCCAATGACATCCTGACTTGTATCAGAAACGGTGTGACAAGCAGAGGCAGGGAAATGTTTGTGCCCAAGTACTCAGCACTGGTGAGGCCACGCCTCAAGTGAGTGGGCCCCTCACTACAAGAAAGACATTGAGGTGCTGGAGCATGTCCAAAGAAGGGCAGTGAAGCTGGTGAAGGGTCTAGAGAACACGTCTATGAGGACCAGCGGAGGGAACTGGGGGTGTTTATCCTGGAGAAGAGGAGGTTTATGGGAGACTTTGTTGTTCTCTACAACTACCTGAAAGGAGGTTGTAGCTAGGTGGGGGTTGGTCTCTATTCCCAGGTTGCAGGTGATAGCACAAGAAGAAATGGCCTCAGGTTGCTCCAGGGGAGGTTTAGGTGGAGCATTAAGAAAATCTTCTTCACTGTAGCGGTTATCAAGCATTGGAACAGGCTGCCCAGGGACGTGGTAGAGTCACCATCACTGGAAGTATTTAAAAGATGCGCAGATTAAGTGCTTAGGGACATGGTTTAGCATTGGGGTGGCAGTGCTGGGTTAATGGTTGGAGTTGATGATCTTAAAAGTCTTCTCCAATCAAAATGATTCTGTGAAGCACAGTGTAATGGGGATGTCCTGCCCCAAACCCCCCTGCCTTGCCTTTGCTGATGGTTGTGCAGCTCCCACCCGGGGTGCTGGATTTGCCCTTCTCATGGGCCTGAAGGGCCACCTCTGCAACATTTGTTGGATGCTTGGTGAACAGGCTCACCTCACATTTATGCTGACATCTTTGAAAAATTACTTTGATTCTCTCAGTATACTGTTTCAGTGATTCATTCTTTATGTGCATTTACTCAGCGGACATGAGTGGGGAAATAAGATTGATGCTAAATTTATATGTTAATTTTAATATTGAAGCTATCCTGTATTTGAAGAATAGGATCAATTCTTCAATTTCATTTCTTATGTGATATTGCATATTGTCATTACTGGAAAATAAAATTATTTCTGAATGCATACTATCCAAACTTCAATTTTAGTGGACATATAACTCTGAAGCATCATTCTTCTCCCTTCCGTATAACAACTAGCTTAATACAGTATTTTAACATTCTTGCACTAGTCTGCCACTGGAAGATAACAAAGACAAGTCTTTTCACCCTAAATGGTGTTTCATGAATGCGGTCCCTGCAGCATTCTGCACTGTCACAGGCAGATTTGGTGCATGACTCAGCAACTCCCTGGAGGCTGTTGCACACAGGCTACAACAGGAATCTCGTTTAAGGCTTTTGTCTCTGAATAGAGACTGATTCCATACATTTCCACAATAGCAGCAGTGCTTGAAAGCCACATCTATAGCTACATGC